AGAAAGGATGAAGAGGTAGAAGTAGCGGTAGTTCCTCTTTCCAACACAGTTCCCCACCCAGGGACAGTGATGGTCGAAGCGCTCTGTGGGAGAAAGAAAGAGGCCGATACCAAAGCCTTCAGAACAAAGAACAACCCACCATCCACATAGTACCTAATTCTAAGACATTCTCCCACCCCGGGCATTGCCTATTTCAGTTGTAAAAAAACATGGGTTTCTATTTTTTACTTTAATAATGTTATCATAGCCATCTCATTTGATCCCCACAATCGCCCTGAAAGTTAGGCAAAAGGAGATACCCTCTCCGTTTTACAGATGAGGAAACTACGACACTGAACAGAAACTGCTCTTTCTCACTCAGTTAATAGCAGAGGCAGAAGTTTTCCAAATACAAACCTTAGGAGGTGGCCCTACTAAGTTCAGGAAGAATAAATAGGTGAAAATAGCCAAGGACATTTTCCAAAAATAACAAGTGTGGCTTTTCTTGGCCTCTATTTATTAAAAATATAAAGCTACTACACTTAAAATGGTATGGCATAGCTCAACGAAATGGAAAGAATCCAGAAACAGATTCTAGAATACATACAATTTATTCCAGAAAAATTGAAGAGTTAAATGTAAAAACCAAGTGAAACCATAAAATAACAAGTGGGATGTCGGGAAAGTCATGACATATTTTTCTATGCAAAAATGCATCATGACTTTCCTGACAACCCAGTATAAACATAAAGAACAGATGTATGTATGTACGCTATAAGGAGAACTTCCTAAGCTAAGAAAATACAGATGACAGAGGAAAATAGATTTGATTCCGTACACCTAAAAAAAAAAACTTGCATGTGTCAAAAATGTTATCAAGAAAATTAAAGAGAAAAATCCCACAATAGTTCATGTAATTTTCTGAATATATGAAAGGCCCTTAAGAATCACTATGAAAGTACAAATACTTCCTCAAGAAAATACTGAATACTAAAAGTTACTTTAAATTTGCTAACAGAGTAGATCTTAAGTGTCCTCAACACACACACACACACACACACAGAGAGACAGAAAGTGAGAAATCAACCCCTGGGGGGATGGCCACAACATAACAATCCCCTCTTCTTCATTCTCCTTTCAGGATTTTGGGCACACATTCGTATGTGCCCAATGTGATTTTCAAGCTGCCAGGTCTAGGACTCCAACTATGCAGTTGGCCATATATGTGATCCAGCTGCCTTAACTTCCACACCACCTATTGGCCCTGAGCCATTTTAAGCATATGATTCAGTGGCATTAAATACATTCACAATGTGGTGCAACTATGGAGATTAGAGTCGGATTTTATTTCACCCCTATGCCCCTACATCCCTGAGTCAGTATCACTACTATCTACTTCCAAATTTTTTTCATTACCCCAAACAGAAACTCTGTACTTGTTAAGCAGTAACTCTCCATTTCCTCCCAGCCCCTGGCAATCTCTATGAATGTGCCTATTCTAGGTATTTCGTGTAAGTGGAATCATAATTTATCCTTTTGTGTCTGGCTTCTCTCACATAGTATTTTTTCAAAGTTAGTCTATGTTGTAGCATGAATTAGTACTTCATTCCTTTTTATGGCTGAATAATATTCCATTGTATGGATAAGCCATATTTTGTGTATCCATTCATCTGTTGATGGATACTTGGATTGTTTCTACCTTTTGGCTATTATGAGTAATAACGCTATGAACACTGGCATACCAGTACGTGTTGAGTCCCTGTTTTCAATTGTTTTAGGCATTGTTATGGACTGAACTGTGTCTTCACCAGCTCCAATTCATTTGTTGAAGACCTAAGCCCCAATGTGGTTATATTAAGAGATAAGACCTTTAAGAAGGAGATAAGGTTAAACAAGGTCATAAGGGTGGGCCCTAAACCAATGAGATTGGTATCCATATAAGAGGATGAGACCCAGGAGTATATATGCACAAAAAACAGGCCATCTAAGGACATAGCAAGAGGCAACCATCTGCAAATCAGGGAGGAAGACCTTGATCTTGGTCTTCCAGCCTCCAGGACTACAAGAAAATAAACTTCTGTTGTTTAAGCTACCCAGCCTATGGTATTGTTTATGGTAGCCCAAGCAGACTAATATGGGTGTATACCCAGGACTGGACTTGCTAGGTCACATGGTAATTTTATGTTTAACTTTTTGAGGGACTGACGAACTGCTTTCCACAGTAGCTGTACCATTTTACATTCTCACCAGAAATGTAAGAAGGTTCCAATTTCTACACATCCTTACATTTAGTAAGTTTTTTTTATTGCCAGAGGGCATATGGGCTCACCAGGGAGAGACAGAGAGACACAGAGAAAGAGAGAAAGCACCCTCCCAGTGGCAGTGGTCACACTGCAGGCCCTTCTCCTCCATTTCTCCATTTGGGGCATGCATGCACAAGTGTTCGGCATGCTTTTCAAGTCATTGGAGCCAGAAGTCAAACTACAGTTAGCCATATGGGATCCAGCTTCCTTAACCACTGTGCCACAGGGCTAACCCAATTTTTATCATTTTGATTGCACTGTTGTAATAATGAATAAAATGGAATAATAAATAATGTCAAATGACAACCTCATGGTTAGAGTCCCAGACCCAACAGCTTGGGAAACAAGCCAAGTATATGTGCATACATGCCCAAAATCCCAAAAGGAGAGATAAACGGAAGACAAAGAATTGCAGTATGACCATGTCGTATGGGAGTGCTATCTCACTTTCTCTCTGTCTCTCTCTGGCTATAACACATGTGCTCTGGCAAATTTTTTTAAAAACTTAAAATAATATTAATAGCATTCATTAAAGATGTAGAGAAATGCTCAGGATATAATTTTAAGAGACAACACCAGGATTAAAAGCCCTATCATGTATGGTTCAATTTTGTAAATAAGTACTCAGAAAGAAGAACAGCAAAATGAAGAGTGAGTTTAAGATTAAGTTTTATTTGTACTTTCTGTACTTCCTATATTTTCCACGATGAACATGTACTATTTTTCTGAATAAAAAAAATAAAGAGTAAAATATATCAATTTAAAGAACAGTGAGCTGGGACCAACAATGGTGTAGTAGCTATGTTGCTAGATTCCCACGTAGCCGACCAGGTTCAAGTCCCGGACCCAGTGGCTTAAACTCACACAGGGCACGTGTGCATGTGTGCCCAAGAACCTGAGAGGAGAATAGAGGAGAAGGGATTGTGGTGTGGCCATCCCCTCTGGGGGTGATTTCTCACTGTCTCTCTGTCTCTCTGTTTTTCTGGCAAGTGCACACGCCCT